GCGGTTGCTGGGCTCTGCTAAATGGTCGGGGTTGGGAACCCCGACCAATTCGAAATAGGTCTATTACGAATTGGTCGGGGTTCCCAACCCCGACCATTTAGTTAAGCTGTTAGCGGGGGATGGACTAAACAGTCGGGGTTGGCAACCCCGACTGTTTACGAAGCCGATTAAAAAATAATCGACCTGCTTTCTCGCCACGGCGCTGACGTGGCGAGAAACCGGGTCGATTTCGATAAATAAAACATGATACAGTCGATTTTGCTAATAAAAACTTAAAATAGGGCTACAGTGAAAATTTGTTCTTGATTAACCCCCCCCCCACCCCCGCTTGCTTAATTGAAAAGGTGGTCAGGAGAGTAAGAAGGCATGAATTAGGGGAAAGCAGTGAAAATTTTATATGCTTATATTTTCTGTGGCTTAGTCTTTGTTGTTCTATCTTAAGTTTGTTTGATATTAGTCCCTAAAATCATTATAAAATCACCCTCTTCAAGAGTAGAAGCAGCAATCAGAGGGAAATTAGTTCCTCAAATGATTGAAAATTCTATTGGGTACCCCAAGTTTCATAGGTTGTTTTGGATTGATAGGCTTAACTGTTACTTCTATTCTTGACTAGTTCTTGTGCACGTGCAATGCACGTGGTAAAATATCAAATTATTTTTTTGTTTATTTTCTTAATATAAAATAAGTCAGATTCATTTTAAGTTAAAATCTATAAACATGGATTGTTATATTTGCCATAAATTTTATTTAAATATTTTTTAAAAAAAATTATAAAATAGATGATTATTTTGAAAATTATTTTGAAAATCTCTTGGGGTTAGGAATAAACAACTAACAAGTTTGCAGTGGAAGATAGGGGAACATGTTACACTCTTAAGAATTATTAATCTTTACTTTGTTTATAATAAATGCATCTCATTATTAATTAACTACAAAGCTTAGTATATTTTTTTTGTTGGACGTTCAAGGCAGGCAGATGACTCATGTGAGTCTTCATCACAATGAATGTTATACAATTTAAGTACAAAGGAAAAATGAGGGTTGATCAATGGCGTGGTTGGTGAGGGGAAACTCCAGTAGCTTATTTTGGTATGTGGATATATAATAGATGGAGATGGAGAGTGGTGGTTTTGAAAACAGTGGGTGTGTATGAGTTATTAATATGGTTTTTGTTTGTGTGATTTTCTTTATTCATTTTCAAGATATCTCTGACCTATATATATATAGGTCACAGATATCTTGAAAATGAATAAAGAAAATCTTTTTTGGTTACTACTCTCTTTTGGTTATGTGGAAGAGTTTGGGTCTTAAAAAATTAAATATCTAATCTGGTTAAAGTATGATTATATAAATTAAGCCCATATATGAAATTTATTTAACCAACACCCATGTATAAATATTACAAATGGCATTGAGATCTAGGATATGTGTGATATTCTCTTTGATTTTATACAAACAGTATCTATTTAAATAATAATAGTATAATTAAATATTGTGATCTAAAAAAAGATCAAACATACAATATAAGTAATTGCTTTAAAATAATCTAATCTAATCTAATACGAAGAAAATAGATGAATATGTGAAAATTGTTACAATTTCATAATAAATATTTTTTTACAATCTAATCTAATCTAATAAGAAGAAAATAACAAAGGCACATATTTGTTGAAGGAGATGAAAGTGCTATGAAAATTAATGTAATTTTTGATCTAAAAAAAATCAAACATACAATATAATTACTTGTTTTAAAATAATCTAATCTAATCTAATAAGAAGAAAATTGATGAAAGTGCTATGAAAATTGTTGATATTTCTTGATATGAAAAAAAAATCAAATATACAATATAATTAATTGCTTTAAAATAATCTAATCTAATCTAATAAGAAGAAAATAACAAAGGCAAATATATGTAGAAGGAGATGAAAGTGCTACGGAAATTATTGTAGTTTCTTAACTTATAAACAATGGTATGTGATGTTGCATGTCAGAGGATAACAATTATAAATAAAGTTCTATTTAAATAATAATAGTATAATTAAACTTTGAAACTAATTATGTAGTACCGTGAACTACTTGAATTTTAGTTGGTGAGAGATCGCCACGTTGTGTCCTCATATCACAGCCGTTCGTTTTTATTTTCTTTTTTTATAATTTTCAGAATGATTTTATCTCTTTAATTTGTTTAGTGGATTTTGCAAATAACCCATCCACATTATCTACATTTGTAGATCTGTGTTGTTCCGGGGTTCGACCTCTGGGGAGGACATTATTTGTCTCACTAATTTGTTTGGTTTTTGCATATACGCCATTCATCTTGTATATATTTATAAATTTGGCATTTAATAATTTTATTTAGATTTACATTTCAACTTAAACTATATTTTTGTCTTTATACTATATATATCTAATAAAAATTCATCAATTTATCAACTTACTCTTACTTAATGGATTAATTTGAATTTCAAGGGTATTTTTGTCTACCAAAAGATTTTTCTGAACTCGTGCTTTTAAAGAGAGTATGATTTAAGAGACTAATTTTAAAATCACTTAAGAATTACGGGATTAGCGAGTCCAATGATAGAGACTAATTTAAAAATAACTTATAGGGGAGTATAAAAGCAATTGCAATAATTTGGGGACTGGTTTATTTTAAAATAAGAAAGGTTTATGGGACCTATGTCGAAAAAACCTAGAAGTTTTCCAGTCATAGTCAAACTCCAACTCAAACCCACTGTCGTATCGTTGCGGGTTCAAAGAGTTTGGCTAAAAACATCCGAGTCACGAGGCAGCTTTAGGTAGCTGCTCCGCGGAGCACCAGACCTTATTTCGATATCATAAACCCTAGCATTTTGCTTCCCTCTCAAAATTCTATAAAATTGATCGAAAATGCCACCAAATTCCTCTCTTCGATCGATCGCATAGCGAGTTTCGAGCTCGATCTTGGGTTTCTCTTCCTTAGCCTTCGATCTTTCAGAACGCTCGGGATCTCTGAAACCCTAAGGTGATCTCTTGATGTCCCTAAATTTATCGTTTCGTTCAGTTTATTTGGAGGTTTTAGGCGTCAATGTGGTATTCGATCTCACATGCAAGCTGTTTACTTTGTTCTCTCCTCTGACATTATCCACTTTCATCGTCCTGTAATTTCTTGAGAATCTATTCCCAAGTTTAGGAATTTAATGATAATTTTGTTATTTGAGTAGTAGCTAAGAAGTTAAAGATTCTATTTTTACTTTACAAAAGACGCATGCTTGCCTAATTGATGCTGGATTTTCTCAGCATGATATTATTATTATGATTATTATTATTTGAGAAAAAGGAAATCATATTCTTTGTAACTCCAGCACTTCTAGTGAGTATACAACCGTGACTCGCTTAGAACCTGCAAACATTTCATTTTTGGTGGCCCTTCAGTTTTTCCCGGAATAGGTCTTCAAAATGAATTAAACTGAATTTCTTTGAATTTTCAAATTTGACTATTTTTCTTTGAATTTCTTTGAACCTGAATTCAGATACAAATATTCGTCAAATGTTGAAAATTTACAGGACAATAAACTATTTACTTAAGAAGATGTGTTTAAAGATTTACTTTTGTTTGTCAAAAGAATTAAAAAAAAAACTAAATTTAATTTCTATTTGAAAATTATGCCTTTGTAATTATGATGAATAACCATGTAATTTGAATGTTGTTAAAAGGACCAATTTGAGCATCTTAAGTCTCTCAGATTAGTATAGAAATTGAACTTAAAAATGTAAGAAGGTCAAAACATTACTTCAAGTGTGTAACAATATAAATCGTAAGAAATTAAATTTTAAACGGATATTTAATAGCTAATAAATCTTATATGTGAATGCTTATAGTTGATTTGTTTATATCTGAATACTAAACATTATTTGATTTATCTTAAATAATCTTCTGATCAAAATTGAGCAGAGATTATTGGAAGTATGTGATAATTATTTGTTTAACTTTTACCCTAGGTCCCTACCAGCGAAGTTCTACTAAATTTCTTTTGAAACTCTTCAAGTTTCTTTGCTCTTCTTTCTTTACTGTTGTAGGGTTTGAGCTTTGAGAATCTTCTTTTGAAACTCTTCAAGTTTCTTTGCTCTTCTTTCTTTACTGTTGTAGGGTTTGAGCTTTGAGAATCCATGTCAAAAGTAAGGGGGAATTTACAATTTTCATAATTGAAGGATTTTTAATGATCACATGATTCTCCTTGAGTTGTGCTCTGATCCATTATTTTACTCTATTCCAAGGCTGAATTTGGCATTTTCCCTTGTTCTTATAGTTATGTACATATGTCAATACGTAAGTTTAGATTATTAGTTGATTTCAATCACCCTGTGCATATTCCAAGTTCTCTGCACAACAATTGTAACATGAGTGTCGCTTCTCTCCGCAGAAGAATTTTGCACTCTTTCATTAGACAATCTGATGTTTCATGCACACTGAATTATTGCTTGGATTTAGGAAAATGGTGAACTTCTTTGGCATGAACTTTTTCAAAGGAAATAATGCTTTGTTGTTTGATATTTCTTCTTTTCCTTGTCATTGGTGTGAAAGCAATGCATTTTATTGGTATGTTTTCATTGATCATATTTAAGGATGCCTCCGCCTCCAAGAGCAAGAATTGCCCTAAACGCTATGAAGAGCATTGGATTTTCCACTAAAGAGGCTGCACCTATATTGAGGAAGCTTCTTGAGGTTTACAAGAACTGGAAGTACATTGAAGATAATGGTTATAAAGTTCTAATTGATAGCATACTTGAGGCGCAGTCAGCAAAGGTAAACGTGTCTATATTGTTGTTAGTAATATTGCACGTGATTGTTAAAAGAATTGTTGTTAATTCTCATTCTTGTCGATTCATTTTCTTGATGCCAAATCTATAACAAACAAGCTTATTTGACTATGGTACTGGACGTTTAATATTCAAACAATTATATCAGGCTTCTACTACAAAACAAAATGCTGTGGCTGGTGATGATCCTGAGCATTCTAAAAAGAGAATAAGAAAGCTAAGTGAAAACCCTTCGATATCAACACTTGCTACTGATAGTTCTGGAGAGATTCTGCTGAAGAAACAAAAGCTAGAAGCTGATGTTTCTCCTGAAGAGCAACTTGGCGGAATCATTGCAGATCCCGTACCATTGCAGGTTGCTGATACAGGGAGAATTGATGTTGCATCATCACAGTTTGGTAATAGACAGAAAATGACTGAACCCACTTCAGCTGAACCTTCTTTTAGTTCTGAAAAAGCTGAGCAAGATTTGTCTCCGGTCAACCGTAGAGAAACGGGAGCTTCTTCTCGTGCACAAAAAACTAGTTCTCTGCATGAAAATGCTGAACATTTGATGCACGGCAGAGATAAAATGTCTGCTAGTGAGAGGTCAAGGAATTCGATCGATCTTAAAAAGCCCAAAACTGATCCAGGTACTAAGTTGCTAATAAATTCCAAGGCTACTTCTCTAAACTTGTCCAAAGCCAAGAAAACTAATAATGACCTACAGAATCTGGGGTTCCTATTTGCCATGCTCCCACCTAATGATCCGATTCCCACTGAGTGCTGAACATGAATGTTTAGCTATATTATCGGGCACCAGTAGCCTGTTACCATAATTTGTAGTATGTTGTTTGAAAAGGGGAATGCATGCAGACTGACATGCAATGTAATTTTGTAGACCACGTAATTTTTAGCGTAACATAAGATATGCCAGTGTTTTGCTACATGTTCAATTATATATAAGAGCCAGTATTTCACACATGTGATACTGCTTATATTAACTTTATATCGCTTTTCCTCCCCACAGGTAAGCGTTGTTTATTTTGGAATTTAATAAATTTTCGTTTTGTGTTGTTAACAACTTTTCACGTGCAGGATCCCCCACACCGGCAACTGAGGAGCTTAGAGCAGAAACTCCTCCACCAGAGCAGCCAACTGCTTTAGTGNGAAATCGCCTGCCACTCTTCTACCAAGTTCTGCAACTTCGGGGGCCTTAGTGTCATCTTCCGTTACTTCTCTAAGCCCGGTGGACGTTCCTGACTTGCTCGGGATTTTCATTGGGCAATTAGAGAGCGTGATGAGGAAGACGGTCGAGATCGTCAGCGCTGGACGGGGTACCTTTGAGTCTTTCAGGCCCTTCTTAACAAACAGTCTGAACAGCGTCAGATGTTTGGGTGATGCCCAATGCATCGAACGTTGTTCAAAGGGCATTTCTCACTTAGAAGCAGACCTGAAAGCATTGCATGGCTTTGAACGCGTCGATCTCGTGGCTCTAATTGAATCGACTTTCTCTAATATCCAAGCCGAAGCTGCACGTCGACAGGAAGTCATTCAGAAGAGCTTGGCTGAGAGGGAGGCTCGTATTAGATCTTTACAGGATCAGCGCGACCAAGTACAAACTGAGTTAACCACTTCAACCACTGCTATGCAGACCACTCGAGGAGCGATTGCGCAACTAAAGGCGGATTTAGCTCAGAAAGAAGCTCAGCTTGTTCGGGAGGAAGCCCTCGTAAAAGGACTCACCCTTAAAATTGTAGGATTTTGTAAAAACTATTGCAAAGAGGTGCAGATCATTGAGGAGACCAAGAAGGAGGTTATTGCTGCGGTGCCGAATAAAGACGAGCTCAGAAGAAAAGCTACAATGATGGTGCGAGCCGTTCATGAGAAGAAGCTTTCAGATATCAAGTCTCGGCTCCCGGTGCGAGCCGTTCATGAGAAGAAGCTTTCAGATATCAAGTCTCGGCTCGCGTCTATTAAGCTGATGGGCTCGCAAACCTGATTTTGTATCGTTCTTTTAATAAGTACAAAACAATTTTGTATCACTCTTTAATATTTTGAATAAAAAGTGATAATATTTTGATTTTTCATTCTCTTTCTGTGTTATATTTTAACTTGAAACAATGGGAAAAAAATGGTTGAAAGTGCCAGAGATGTAATGTTAACTTAGCACGAATTCTCACTTAGAATGCGATAATTTCAGAAAAATTTAATCTAGGATTTTTATAAACATTTGCTATTCTTTTTGAAAAAAAGGAATTAACAAGCTCATGGGGGTTTGACTGCTAGAGGTGTGATGTTAACATAACAGCAATTTGTGGACTTATCATCCTATTAGAGAGGATTAATAAGTTAATTTTGTCGTTAGAGTAGTGTTAACTTGACGAAATTTTTGAGGACTTATTGCTGTATTGAAGAGAGTCGATAAATTGAGTTTATCGTCAGAGGTGTAGTGTTAACTTGATGATATTTTGTGGACTTATTATCCTATTGAGAAAGGTTAATAAGTTGATTGCGTCGTCAGAGGTGTATTGTTAACATGATGATGGTTTTGTGGACTTGTCATTGTTGGAAATCCGTGCTAAATACATACAAAATACGTAACGAAAGACTATATGTATAATAATACTAAGTATGTAGAGAGCATGAAAAACAAGTTAGGACCATCCTATTAAATCTAACATGATCCCTATAATAAAAAGAGCAACCAAGAGCTTCGAAGGCTTACTTTCGTAGCGTGATTCGATGGTAGATCGAACAACCCCTTAGCTTGTTCTCCTTGTTGTTGTAAACCTCATTGTAGTGGATCTCTAAGTCTTTAAGTGAGCTTGATAAAATCGGAGTCTTCTTGAGACACAAGGCAAGATATCCACCCCGGTGTACTATAAAATCCTACTACTTCCTCTTACTCAAAGATGACTAGAATATAGTAAGAGGTAGAGCTCTCTTTTATTCTCTTATGGAAAAAACCACTTAGCCAATTTTTCATTAACATTTTCATAAGAGAGAGAGCTCATATATATAGTGAGATATATCATGACTCATCTCATGATTCATGCCATGAGTCATCTAAATGTAATGATTCCTTTCATGAGTCATGCAATGACTCATCTCATGAGTCATGCAAAGAGTCATGAAGAATCAAAACTGTGTTAAAACCATGTGCTTAAACCATTCCACCTTAATGACGCATCTCATGACTCATTAATCAAGGTATAATAAAGTGTGTATTTTATAAATAAAAATACCACATCAATACGGTGTTTCATGAATACGGTATCGCATAATTTTTCCAATCATTAACTAATAAGTCATCATATGACCAAAAAAATCAACGAGTTGACCAAAAGTCAATTGTTGATCAAAAAGTCAACCAGTTGACTAAAAATTAACTTAATGGAAAAAATACTGGAATTCATTTCTTAAGCACATGACATTCTGATTTACCGATACATATAACTGTTTATGTGTATCCGGTGAAAATTATATATGTGTATCAATCATATGCATTTAACTCTATACAATGTATTTCATAGGATTCAAGTACGCACTTGGTGTGACTCTAGGGCCCAACTTAAGACTCGGCAGTGGATCATATCCACAAGTACAACAGAGGTGCTAGCTACACATGAAGACTACCCGGGTATAAGTTATGATAAATATCTGTAAAATACTTACATAATTTTATCAGGACCACTCAGTGATAATATTGTACAGTCTGGTCTCTTTGTCAAACAATGTCAAACTATCGAGCCTAGGGTGTGGTAAACTGTCAAACCCTAATAGCTTGATTAGTGTTTGCTGATATTAAACTCGTAACCTTTAAGATCAAATTGATAATCAGTTTATCTTATTTAACTTGGCCAAGGATTTTCAGGCTATAGTTATATCAAACAATCTTATGACATCAACCCTCTATACTGAGAGAGACGAATCTCATCTTGGCATCTCAATATCTACTTATGTCTCGGGATGCACCCAACAAGAACCATTATACACAACTCATTGAGAACTGTGGTTAGGTAAAAGTCTAAGTACACTTATGCTGACATATAAGATATTGCACTCATGCCTCAGATCAAGAGATTATTTTGTAATATATCACTTTAGAACTTCTATTTGACAGTTAAGTATAATTACTAACTAGACGTTCTCAGTGAGTCGTTCAGTCAACTCATCCACTAATGAGTCACATGTATACTATATCTTGATGTCTCACATCAATGATCCAAGAGATGGATCATCATCCTACCAAAGGAGAAATAGAGTATACACTATAGTCTCTCCAAAATGATGATGGCTCATTTCTACACTTCATCGACTAGGAACATTTTAGAATATATGTTAGCGACAATTCAGATCTCTTCATTACGATCATATTCGAAATGTCTGATAGTCTAGTATCATTCTAAGGATTTTATCTATATTAAAATACCAGATAAATCTGACCAAAATAGTATACTATCATTTTGAATAAGAATGTTATATTCATATAGGTCTTGTTACAATATACAATTATTGCCTGCAGGGCACCTATATCTAACAGTCATCCTATTGGAGAGGATTGACAAGTTGATTTCGTCATCAGAGGTGTATTGTTAACGTGATGAGAGTTTGTGGACTTTTCGCTTTATTGAAGAGAGTCGATAAGTTAAGTTTATCGTCAGAGGTGTATTGTTAACTTTGACGATATTTTGTAGACTTATCGTTTTATTGAAAAGAGTCGATAAGTTGAGTTTATCGCCAAAGGTGTATTGTTAACATGATGAGAGTCGACATTTGTGTGTGAATATGTTGGTGAGGTACTAACTAACATAGAATTATACAATCAAACAATCCAGAGCACTGGCAATGCTAGACATACATACCCTGTTCTTCTGGATGCTGATTGGGGCTCAGAAGGGGTCCTGAAAGACGAGGAAGCTCTGTGTTTGGATGCAACATTTTATGGAAATGTTGCAAGATTTGTTAATCACAGGTAATATCCCTAATTTACTTCTTATTATCAGTATATATTTTATAACCTTTCCTTATAAATATATGTCAGTTGGTTCCTATTTTTAAAAATCTTAAGATGCCGTTTGGTCTGAATCATCTATATGCATTACATTTTCTGCATTTCAACTGCAAAACCTTCATAATTACTTGTGTTCTATGGTTAACTTTTTTGCATTCTTCAACTATATGTCTTTGCAACACAAGATTTAGAATTCTTTATTTCTGGAATGCATTAAAGCTCCATTAATGTGCGCGTTCAACTTTATCACTTTATTTTTTGATGTCAGGTATAAATTGTCATCTAGTTTCCCCCCTTCTAGTTTAAGTTAATTAACATTAGAACAGATTTATTAAAATATTTATTGTCAAGTTGCACTACAGTTTTACATTTAGCCCTTACCATTTTTTTTATTTTTACATCACTACGATGTTCCAAAGCATGCTTAATAATTTCCCTTGCAGTCTCTTTTTTTTAGCTAACAAGGGAAACCCGGCCAGTTCCCCCAACTTAAACTCCTTTGGAGTCCCCCGGCGGCCCTGGTTCAAAACCCTCAGGCTTCCCACCTCTGAAAGGAGCTACCCTTGCTACCAGGGGCTCATCCCCACGTGAGTGGTGTGGACGCGTGTGTTTTCACGCATTTTGTGGGGACCACGAGAAAATATCTTGTGAAGAGAATATGTGAACGAACAGTACAACAAAGGCCCACCCGACTCTAGTGTCCTATATATATACCTTGTGAAGAGAATATGTGAACGAACAGTACAACAAAGGCCCACCCGACTCTAGTGTCCTATATATATACCTATTAATTCATAGGGTTTTGTGTGCAAGGCAACAAAGGCCCACCCGACTCTAGTGTCCTATATATATACCTATTAATTCATAGGGTTTTGTGTGCAAGGGGGCTTTTGTGATTTGTGCGGCTACTGCGCAGGAGGTTGGTGCAAGAGAGAAAAGACTTGGCGGCTACAAGGTGAAAAAAGGACGCTTGGTTGCTGAGGTGCGTGCGCAGGAGGTTGTCAATTGGTTTTGCGGTTGCAGTTCGTGCAAAAGAGTCGGCTGTCGCCTGTCCCTTTGTAGAGAGAGATTAAGAGGGATTTGAGAGTTTGTTTTGAGAGGGTTTAAATTGAGTGATTGTAAACCCTACTTGTATCTCTCCCTCTAATAGTAGATCTCCCCCCTCCTTGCCCCGTGGACGTAGGCTATTTGTCGAACCATGTA